GGATTCTTCATGATGACAATATCTATAAATGATAGCGTCCTTTCACCGATTGTGAGAATAATAAATTATTATTCGAGTTAATGTTATGAAAAATCGTTAAAGCCATTCTGTTTCATTTTTTGCAGACTAGAACTATTCAATTGGGCGTTTGTCTTCCCTTTTCTTGCACCGCTCAGGATATTTTTACGATAGGAAAGTTATCAGCTAGTGAAACTGCATCGAAGCATTCGTTTATAGAAAAAGTTCGAGATCAGCACAATTATTACGATATTTATCAAGATCCGGCATTCTGGGCGTTACTGTAAATAAACTTGTCATTTATTCTTCAGATTTCTTCTAGTAATCATCGATTTATCTAGAGAACTATCGATGTATCGTGGAAACAGTGAGGGACTTTTTTGTAGCTCATAAAATTTTGGATAAAAAAGTTCATGAACAATTTCCTCCTAAAACCAGTAGTTTCTTCGATCAATCAATAGTTATCAAAACTAGAAAATTCGATTTATCGGGTGTCGCTGGGGTGTACTAGAATCGTTTAACAGATTTTTATTCGGATTTTTTTCAGTGGTTCTACGGTTTTTGTCGTTATTGTAATGATAATTGGGACGGCTTACGATTATTACCTGTCCTACAAAGCTGCTCAGAAACGAGTGGGTCTTTACGATTTAGAGAAACATGCGAAATTGGAGCAAGTGCTCAACGATCGTCATAAATTGCCAAACGGTAAGGAAACTTCACTGGCATCAATTCTTCATACCAAAAAACGGAATGAGTTTGTTAAAAAATGTTTAAAAATACAACAATTCAAATTTTTTAATGAAATAGCATGAATTTAACTAGTATTTCTTGGACAAACCGACTCGACAGTACAAGACGTTAGTCAGTTTAGTGACACGATATGTTGTGTTAGGTAGAATTTGACGGTAAGATCTACATGCCTGTTCCAGTAGGAGACGCCATCAGTACCATTGTTGTTACTCCAGTGAACAATAATAACGATCGTGAATCGAGCACGCCACAGATTGGTGC